CGCCATATAAAGACTACCGTTCAAAAGTATTTGAACACGTGCATATTTCCATTTAAAATCATAACAAAAAAAACTATTCGGTACGTATTTATTTTTCTTTATTTATTGAAAACCACATCACAATGGTAATCAAGCATCACTGAAAGATCATTGGAATCAGAATTTTGCTCACCCTATTATTTGGAACTCATCATTTGCCATAATAGGAATTTATTTGCCTATAGAATATTGTTATGTTTTGTATAGGAATTCTTTCTCAGGTTGTATTCGATTTTTTTTTTATTTGCGTTGTACGTAAACCCATAACACAGTTTTTCTTCGGTTATCTTGACTTATTTGCTTCAATACCTTGTAGTTCAAGATTGTTCAACAAGTCCGTTTTCGTCTATTATTTTCTGGACAAAATGGGTTAAACTAAAGACGTTTCCAAGGAGATAAAAGGAGTAATTATTGGCCTTCATAAATCTGCCAAAACTACTCGAGAAATTTCTAAGCCTCAAAAGGTACCACTGCCATCTGTACACTACATTATTAAGAACATTCAATAGCCGTTGTTCAGGGAGACCCAGAGTTACGACTTCTGCTGAAGACTTAAGCATAACAGTGAAAAGTAAACACAATAGAAGCAGTCTACCACGGTGGGGCTGTTGTGGTGGTTCAGCTCTGGGGGATATTGTGAGAGTACAGGGAATACTGAATAAAGAAGGTTACAAAGCGATACTACAAAATTATATGCTTTCTGGGACTCGTCTTATTGGTCCGGGATTTGCCTTTCAGCATGACAATAACCAAACACACATCCAAGCAATTTTTGGAAGCGAAAGAAGAACAAAACATTTTGAAAGTCATGCAATGCATCCCAGATTTGATTCTGATAGAGTTGCTGTGGGCTGAACTGGACAGGCAAGTAAGGAAATGTTGTTCTACATCTCACGTATGGAGAATATCAAAAGACGAATGGCGGAAAATAACCTCATCCTCTTCACATCTTTTTTGCCAGGTTGTAATTAAATGTAAAGGAGGTCACATTAATGTGTCAAAAATATGATTATTTGGATTACAAATAGTTGTATGTTGTTAAGAATTGAGATAATAAATGTTTCATACAGATACTGTAATGTTTTCTTTAATAACTTCCATCAGTTTGGTTGTTTTCGGTTATAAGTAAAATGAATGACCCTAAAACATATCAAAAGGTTTTTCTCGGTAAAAAGTTCCCCAAAATTATATCCCCAAAAATTCGCCGAACGGTGAAAAAGCCCCTCAAAGTAAGGGAAAATTTTCCAAAATGACAACGCTGTTGTCGCTTTGCTGGGTTTCTGCTCTGTCTCATTTTGCTGAAGCCGGTCGCATCTTCCGCCACCCATGTCGGTCGAGTGGAAACAGGTACATCCAAACTAATGCAATACAGATACAAGATAACCTATACCTGTTACATATACAGGGTGTCCGCAAAGTTGGGGTTTTCCTTTCCAGAAACAACTACCCTTGAAATAACAAAGGTAATGTGTAGTGAAACGAGGGCGATCAAGTAAAAAAAATAAAGGAAAAAGTTCACACTCTCCAGTTGACGAGAAGGGCTAAGTACGTCTCTGCCCGAAATCATACCGCTCCAACAGAAAATGAAATCGGCTGAAGCGCTACCGAGCAGACGCAGAAACCACATTGATTGTCTTACACTTAATGGCACATCTTCTAACAAGGAAGGCAAAATGTTGCGTAAAAGTCTAGGTATTGCATCCCGTCCAATCGATTTGGGAGAATAAATGGTCCAATGAGCATACTATTCACCATGCCAGCCCAAACATTCACCGAAAATGTTTGTTGAAAATGTGCCCGACGGACAGCGTGCGGATTTTCTACTGACCAAACATGAGTGTTGCGAAAGTTATTCACCCCGTTACGCGTGAACGTAGATTCGTCTGTCACCAATATGCACTTCAAAAAGTCAGGATTATTGTCATGTTGATGCAACAACCACTCACAAAACCGCACTCTTGCTTGAAAATCGTCAGGTTGAAGGGCTTGTACACGTTGGACGTGAAACGGATACAGCCCCTCTTCACGCAGCGTTTGCCACACTTTAGTTTTTGATACTTGCACTTCTCTAGCCACGTCTCTAGTGCTTGTTGAGGGATTCTCGTCTACGCGATTAGCTCTACATGCGTGACCGTAACCGTCGGTTGAAGGTTGCATACTGACCTGACACACTGACCCCGACCCAGTTCTGCCGTCGGGTTGAGACCTTGTACCAATCGATGTCCCGGGTCGCGGCTACAGGACGGTATTCAGATATTTTTGATGTTGCAGAGCCCTTTATCTCGGTTCCCTTAAGACATTGGTGTATATGGTACTGAGAAAAATTGCTTATGTTTTCAAGACCTACACGTCGTGTAAAGGAAACCCCCAACTTTGCGGACACCCTGTATAACCACGGGACAAGTGTAACCAAGTTTCATTCGTTTGTAACAACGGGAGAGGGAATTGGAAATACCGCCTTTCGAAAACCTATATTTTGAAGTCTCGTTTATTATCTTCTACCTGGACAAAAATCATCATCAAAGTAAGTTGGTGTTAAGGCGAGAGACACCTATGAAACGCATTGCGAATAGAAGATAAATGGTAAAATTAGTGAAAGATTTTTGGACAACCCCATCCCAACCTTTCCTATAACAGTAAGCAAACACTAGAATATTGAGCGAGGCACAGAAAATCATAGAAGCCCTATGACTAGAATGGCGATCTGAAATCAATGATCTTACCTGGTACCCAATCAGCTTTAGGAATTTTTTATAAGATTAATTCTGTTTACTGATAAGACCGTTCGAACGACTCTTTCTTATCTTTTGCTGAATGTGTAAAGAAATAATGCTTTCTATCTTATTGATTGATAGACTTGGATATTTCTCATTCTACTGCCACGCTAAGCACAAATGAGGTATCTGCAATTTTCTTGATATCCAGTGAATCAGTAACATTTTCTCTACTCATTGTCAGTTTTTTAGACAGACAATAGTGTTCTTGAAATCATTATACTTTTACTGCAGTGTCTGCTCAATTATCATGCTTTACTAAGGTATATGAGTTAAGTGACAATCCTGTTGTAGATACGCCTTTTTCTTCTAGCATGAGGTTACATACAACATATATGTTTTATACTAAGTGACATATAAATCCGAACACCCAGTTTAAGTGGTTTTATTTTAACAAAAGTTGGTGAATGTATTTATCTTACTATAAATAACAAGTGAAAAAATTTTCAGCCTTATCAGTTGGACATTCCGGTTTTTATACTGCTTTTTTTTATTTCACTAACGCTCTAAAAATGAATATTTCAGCCGCAGTAAAGAATCAACGTTGGCAGATTTTGGTTCTTGACATCCTTTACGATCGGTTACGATGCCTAGAGTACGGAGACCTGTACAATTTCGTCAACTTAGTGAGTTTGATAGGGGCCGTATAGTGGGACTTCGGGAAGCTGGACTTTCTTTTCGGGCAATTGCAGTTAGAGTGCAAAGAAGTGTAGACACTGTGGTTAGGTGTTGTCAGGCATGGCTTCGAGAAGGCCGTACGCAAAGAGCAAGGGGCACTGGACGCCGCCGTAGAACAACAGACCGTGAAGATCGCCGCCTAAGATTATTGGCCTTAAGGGACCGTTTCTCCACTACCAGGTCCATTGCAAATGAATGAATGAATGAATGAGAAGTTTTGGCTTGTTTTCATACCGGCCACACTGGGTCCTCCCTTTAACTCGAGAACACCGACGTAATCGCCTTGAGTGGTGCAGACAACGGTCACTCTGGGATCAGGAATGGGACAGCTTTTTTCTCAGTTTCAGGCAGTCCAAATTTTTGCACCGTTGGTAGCTATGTTTTGTAAAAGAAGCTTAACCACTCAGCGTTAAGGCATCTTTGCGTTGCTACTTCTGTTTGCTAATAAGGGGTATTGAATGAGTCATTAAGTTTTCGATGGAATTCTGTTAGAGTGTCAAGCACAGAGATAGTTTGTAATTAAGTTAGAAATGGAGCATAGTTTCTCTACGACACTTGTAAATGGAATATTTCATAATTTATTGCACATTTCGATAGATCATCCCAAATAGGAAGTTTGATATGAGTATCAATATGTCGAGTGAGTCTAAGCTACTCTGTGTACAAGCTCATATTTAACTGGTCGTCGGTCTCCCATTTCGGGAGATTAAAACCTTCAAATTTAAGAGGTACTAAATTCCATCAACCGTCTTGAAATTTTCAGCTGTCATTCTTATACTAAAATACAGGGTTTTCGAAAAATAAACGGAGATATTTTAGAGCGCGGTTCCTTGTTAAAAAATATGAAAAAAGTTTCATAAACATGAGTACGGAAATGCGGAGTTTTTAAGATACAAGGTGATACAATTATAAATATCTTAAAAAATATTCACTTGATTCTGTTGACATTGGGCAAATATGGCCCTAAATATATTAAAATTATTAGGTCCCTTATGAACATATTTTTTAACAAGGAATCACCCTCCGTCTACTTTTCGAACACCTTGTATAGAATTCCTACATCAATTTTATAATCCCGAATACCTACTAATTAGAGAAAAGCCATGAATATTTGACAATCTCTCCTATGTTGTTGTTAGTTGTTTTTGCTGATTTCAGTGACAGTTTTACTGGTGCCTACGTTCATAACACTTAATGATGCCATCAAAAACCTTGCTAAAAAGGTCACCGAGTATTTCCAATCGCCCACCTGTATCCCATTCTTATATAACTGAGGTCATGACTTGGTAATATAGTCGTTGATATGATATTTTATAATGTTCTTCTGTAGCACTTGTACTGATTTTTTATTGCCAAAAGCACATGTCAAAAATCCATTCGACCAATTCAACTTGTTACCACTGGTGAATCAATACATGAAATCATTTACACATAAATTTAGATGCTAAACAACGTAACATCGTGTCTAAGCAACAAAATGAAAGGTGATTAATGACATTTGTACATTTGATTATGAGTCCCCGCATATACAAATAGTGAATTGTGGAATATAACTTATCTTTGAGAAAGTGCAATCCTTGATAGTTTTAGGAATTCACAGAATATTTTAGCTACGTGAATACCGCACAAAAAATTGTAATGGGTAAAGTATAGATACTTCAACTTGCTATTACTCATTTATGTGGGTTTGTAGTAATGTTTACAAACTTTCCTTATCACATTCTTTCGTACAGATCTGATATAATTCCTGTAGAATCGTGTAATTTTGCTCGTTATTTAGCCACCTGTATTTATCTTCTGATATGACTGATAAAATTCGTATTATCTGATATCAATAAGTCAAATATTGCAGATATTCAGCTTCAGACTTCACGAGCCACTGACGTTGCAAAATTCTATACATACGAGGGGTGTCTTTTAAGTTTTGCATATAGAAATATACACATTATTAAAGGTCAAAGAGCTTTAAAGCAGTGCAATCATTTTGAAATTTTTATCATTTACTTATTATGCTTCATTAAGTACTTATACAAAATTTTATTAAAATAAAACCATTTAAACTGGGTGTTCGGATTTATATGTCACTTAGTATATTTCCTTATCTTTCTTCAAGAAATAACTTTGTTGCCACAAAAAAACGCTCCAATAGCTATTTTCAACAACAAAATGATAAACAAACCATGGGCGTAGTGCAGAAAAGCATTTACTTATTAAGTAAATTCATTTGTAGTACAAACTAATCTGATGTACCTATTAAAGTCTACTTTGAGCTTCAAATCAATAAATTTTCAAAATTACTGAATTGAAGCTCATGTATTTTACATTATTATAAAGGGAATTGAAAGACCTTTAAAATAAGGTATCACTTGACCCCCCCTATCCATTTAAGATTTTAGGGTTGGTGTCACCCCCGCTCAGGGGGCTACACGTGCTAACGTGATTTTTTGCCAAACTTGTGTCCCCCTCGAAATCAAAATCGACGGGTCTAAGCGTTTTTCAAAAAAAAAAAAACACTGAGCCAGTAAATGCGTCTGTCTCGTTTTCGATGCGCCACCCTGTATATCAATCAGTTGAGAACTCAACAACTAAATCTGAATCTTAAACACTTGAAAGAAAGACAATGAATCTGTGAAATTTTCAGGAGTGCACTTCGACTATACTTTGACATGGGAGCAGCATGACAGTTGTCCGAAATCTTCTCAAGAAGCATTTACCGGATTCAAAATCTTCTCTCTCTGATGACGCTTGTAGAAATGCATTTAAAGATCTCAATATCCTTACACTCCCTTGCGTGTATATTCTACAGTGTCACACCTATTTAGCGATCATTCAGATGAGCGCACATACAATAAAGATATAGGAATAATTATCATCCTAATCATTTAAGATTCAACCAATTCAACTACCATTGTATAAAGTTTTACAATATGTTACCCAAACAGCTCAAGTCAATAAATGATGCACGGCTTAAGAGTGATATCAAAAAATATCTACGTTCTACTCTTTCGACGAATTTCTGTACGACAAGTTCAACTAGTTTTTATAGTCTCTATATCCCCACTTCGGCAGATAAGAATACACCATACAATTCTAAATAAGTCCCACACCGTTTTTCTGAGGCGCCACTGCTTTTATTGGGTGCTGCACATCTGGACCTCCATGTTCGGGATATTTATCTGGTAGAGTGCTCATCAACAAGCTCAGTTTCTTGGAGCCTGATGAAACATAAGTTGATAGGGTTTATAGGTTCTGGAACGGCCTCGCGCCGACCTTGACGTCACACCACCATGAAATGTCGATGACCTTGAATCTGCAATTAGCCTGAAATCGTGCGACCTTGAAACGATATGATCTTGAAATTGTAACTGGTCTTGACCTTGAAACACGAAAAGACCTTGAATGCCGGTGACCTTGCAACACTAATGATCCTAGGTTTGTTTGACCTTGGAGTTGTAAATGACCTTGACGTTGAAAATATAAACGGCCTTGAGATTGTGGACGGCCTTGGCGTCTGGAAGGGATAACTTTGGAAATATATCTTTAAATAGGGGTAGTGTTATGGGAGAGTTCAGTTCAGTATCTGCATGCATCGCATTAGTAAGGGCATATTTTTAATGAATAATAGGAAAAGTATATTTGTGAAAACTTTTTTTGTTTGGCAAACAATGTTGAACATCTTTAAGTCATCGAGCAGAGATTCTAATGCCCAACGTCAACTATGGTTCAGATTGATGATTTAGGTTTATTGTTATTCAAGTTTTATTCTGGAAAAGAAACGTATACGCAGTATTTCAGATGATTAATACACTTTTCAAAACCATCATTAACATCGGTGCCATATATGTCTCCTTCCATGTTTCAGAACCAAGAAGTGTCATAAATGTGTCCCTCCCCTTAGCCTTTGCATCAAATTAACAGTGATTTGATATCGCGTTTCGTATTACACTTAGAGAGAAATCGCTATATTCGTTTAAAAAACTAGTACACATGGCTATAGATGTACGTGAAATTATCGTTGGTTATTTTCTAGAACTACAAAAATATCAAACAATATTTTTTGCTGATTTGTACACGCGAGCCAGTTAATATTCAGATCACAACATATCATAATTTTTGTGAGCAGAGGCGTAGCAAATTCGTTCAAGGAGTATATTTAAGGCGTACGAAAAATGATTTGTTCCTGTTGTTGGGGATCATTAAATATAAAAAATCAGGAATATTTTTTCATTTAGCTTTAGTTCGATACCACATACCTCGAATAGCTACACTGCAGTAAAAAATTGCTACTCCTCCATTTTTACTTCCCACTCCTACTGGCCCATTTCCGTCTGTCTGTTCTAATCTTATAACCGGCTTGAGAAGTACCGCTTGGATTTTGATTAAATTTTTACACAATATTTCTACTATGCCAAGGAGTCCAGTGGCGGCGTCTAGTGGCTAAGAAACAATAAAAATAAAACCGCTCAACTATTTTATTTACATTTGACTTTAATCATTCAAAAAATAAATATTATTGCTATTGGAACGATAAACTTTCAGTCACACTTTCAAAACCTAATTCTTATTCGACAAATAAAACACTGATTCATTTATATCTCATATTTCTTAGATATTTATCATTAAAAGAACAATATTTACTAAATTTATTATCATCCCAATTTTTTTTCTGTCAACAATCATTTATTTCATGAAGAAACAGTTTGACCGTACCAATATTTTGTACCGTCTGTAACTATGTCGGAAGTAAAACCTGAATCACAGCACGGAAAAATAAAGTAATAATATGAAAACCCCAGCTAGAGCAGCGTATGCTAATGTTTAATGTCTACAGTTACGTAATCTCCATTTGTAAATATTACATCATTTGGACCAACAAGCCCAGGTCAAACAATCATAAAAAAAATTTATTACTATGCTCTGCTATTCACCGTCCATACATAATGACTAAGAACACAGTGGAGTAACAATGCACTTTTTTTTTCATTCCCGAAATTTATTATAGATACCCATACTGCCCTGTTAATTCAAAGGGGCGTATCCGTCTAAAAGAAAGAACGGGGAAAATTGAATATTTATGTTTTACTTATGCCGTCATGGTGTTTTACTTTTATTGTACAGAATAAGTATGAATAGTGACAGTTACTCTATTTTATCCTTTGAATTCCAAAATTTGATTCCAAATAAGATATTTGATAGATACGCCCTTTTCGATTAACATAAACAATGCGAATAACAGATACGCCTTTGAATTCTATCATCAGATTAAATGAGTTATAATAATAACAAGTAGAAAAGAAAACTTTATTACTGAAACATATTTAGACTAAATATAAACGAAAAATATAAATTCAAAACATAGACCGTTGGTCAAAGTCAGTATCTTCAATAATTGCTCCCTCCTCTTTGTTTACTGTTGGTAGAGATTCCCAAAACTTTAGTCTAATGGGAGGAAAACTAGACCCTAGTCTTGAAATTGTTGTATAACACCTGCAGGCAACACCAAAATATTCTAATAACCTAAAGACAACATGGACGATGCCATGATTGTACACAACCACCCGCCATATTGGGCAAACATTTATTCCTCTATTTAATATTAAATAATTATCAAGTGATAAACATTAGTGGAATTATGTCTAAATATAGGATTTGTGGAAGATTTAACGCAGATAAGTTCAGTTTTCCATCTTAAAAAAGTAGACATACTTTTGATCATTGTCGAAATATGAATCAAATACGAAGCCCGTAGAAATTGGGTAACTAATTTGTACTATAATCACAATAAAATTTGCTGCGCAAGTAATTCAATAGCCCTATATCACAGTGTAGAAGTTTATCATATACCTGTGTATGAAATTCACAATGGCCGTTAAACAAGATGACTGTAATGTGTTAGTTATATATTCTTCACTTCGTCTATACAATACATAAGAAATAGTTTGGTTACAATAAAGTAGAATCACGTAACAGAATAGTTGTATAGTTGACAAAAACTGAATCTTGCACTGACGCAAATGTCCTATAGCGGCTGGAAGAGGCTTACACTTTTGTTTTTTAACTGTTACCTGCAGCCCTTATACAACCTCTTAAATGACTGAAGTGTCCTATTAGGTGTGCCCATTCCGCTTGTGTAGCTGTTCTAAGAGGGTTTTGCCAATGTTCTTACAGTATACAATGCTGTTTAAGGAATACTGTATAATCATTCTTGCAACTCTAATAGGAGTGATAATTGTTAGTTGGGTGCTACTATCAATTCACAGGAAGTCTCTGTCATGTTAATTTAACTAGAAAATAACTTGTCGAATTTAAGGGTACTTCAAGAAGCGCTTTTAATATCAAGCTCCCGACTCATAATGGCGCTACTGTTTTTCACTTTAAATGATGAATCACGCAGTGAGATGTCATCAAGAGAAACGTAAAACTCAATTATAAACAATCTGTATAATTGGTTACTGTTAAGGCTGAACATTTTTGTACAGATCCGGTTATTACCAGAATATGTATGACTTGTTTAAATTGCTGCATTGACCAAAATCAGTGACATCAAGATTTTTCAAAACATTGCCAAGTAAACGTACCAAATATACCTGTCATTATGTATACTAGAAAGAGGCAGCTTCGGTTAGATTAACAAAACATGTCTTTCAGTAAAATCTAATTACAATGTCGGACGTTTAAAAGATACACGATTTAGACTCGTGATATAACTAAACTTATAAATATACTGCATGGATGTTTAGCATCGTCGTATGTTCATCTCCAGAAATAATAGATAATTCAAGCTTCGATTCACCACCCACATCGACACAAAGTATTCAAAACAAAATTTTTCAAGATGATTTCGAGTGGTCACCACAGTAAGTCTTTCGTACTTTTACTATTTACATTTTGAATAAACATTTTGGATCTGATTAATTGAATGTGTTTTGTAAGGTTGATTTAAATTCATTCTAAATCACTTTGACGTTTAATTTGTAAAAATAGTCATTGGTTAATTAATCTAGGTTGCATTGCTGACACTAATTCTTCTATTCGAAAAATAGACGGAGGTACTTTAGAGGGTAAACACCCTGTATATGTTTGTAGTTAACCTTTATCTCACTCACTCTAACTGAGTCAAATATAGTCTTTTATGACCTGATGACAGCGTTGCTTGGAAGTCAACCTACTTGACACGGTTTTTTCATATCGCGTTTGTTGGATACCACATGGCATAAATCAAGAAATTACTGAGCTGTAAGTCAGTCAAATAACCAAGGTAACTCAGTTAAAAATAATTACTTTTGAGGTTGAAAATCGTCTAAATTAACCGTTGAATTTTTGTATATTACGTTCAAAACCCTCTTGGTTCAAGCTGAGGGACATCTATCATTATTTATGAGGTTCTAATTGCAACAAACGTACCTATATGGTTAAGCATATTGGGCAAAAAGTGGCAAGTTTTCGATCAAGCAAGCCCGACTGATGGAAAGCACTATGGCTGTATTGGTTCGCTGATTCCTATGCCGCAACATTTACAGACCATTTTGCGAGTAATTTTATTTTGATGAGCTTAGAACGGATGTTGTTCTATCATAAAACATCATTTTAACTGCCACCTGATATCACCGTTACATTTTATCACCATCGGAGGAGTCTACTATACAGTATACTAAAATAACTACGATAATATACTAAGTGACATATAAATCCGAACACCCAGTTTAAATGGTTTTATTTTAATAAAATTTTGTATAAGTACTTAATGAAGCATAATAAGTAAATGATAAAAATTTCAAAATGATTGCACTGCTTTAAAGCCCTTTGACCTTTAATAATGTGTGGATGCGCCCTGATGTGCTACGCATTCTCCAACGCGCC